TATCGATATATTGACGTCTAATTTACCCGTGATCCGAATTAGTCGATCATTTCGTAACGAGAGCCAGTGTGAGCGGCTCGTCGCGGGACCATGAAAAGTTTATAAAAAACGTAAAAGTTCCAAAATGAAGCCTGTTTTAATTACTGTGACTTTGTTGTTCCTGTTGGGGCAGACCTCAGCAAAATGCGTCATGCGAGGGGAGTGCTATTCGGTGGGAGGGTTCCCACAAAATTGTCCCGTTGATGAGGAAGCTCCTCCGCTGGTCAATGGGCTGTCACCTGAAGACGCTGCAGAAGCAGTTTCCATAATCAGACACAGATGTCCAGAATTGGCCACAGACGAGGATGGAGAGCCGATACCAGACGACCAGATCCGTGTTTGCTGCGCATTGGACCAATTACGCGGGATGACGGAGAGCTTGCTGTTAGCGGATGGAGTCCTCGGCCGTTGCCCAATCTGCTTCCGCAATTTCGCCCGACAGGTCTGCGAGATGAACTGCTCACCGGATCAGTCCCGATTCGTCACTGTATATGAAGATCTCGGCACAAATAACACGCGGTACGTTAACGAGGTAGACTACAGAATGTATCAGGACTTCATGGATGGCGCGCACGCGTCTTGTGCTGGAGTGATATTACCTCAAACGGGAACGCCGGCTATCAATATGATGTGCGGGAATGCACCCGAGTGCACCCCAGAAGCATGGTTCGGCTTCACAGGCGACAAGAGTCAGAATCCACTAGCTCCTGTTCAAGTCAATTTCCTAAAATGGGAGACGCCTGAAGATTCGATGAGTGTGCGAGCGCCTCCATGCAACGAGACTCTACCAGGAGACCTGCCGTGCAGCTGCGTGGATTGCTTTAGCACTTGCCCGGTGGGCAACGAGCCAGTCGTCACGGAATCATGCACAGTGTTCTTGTCAGTTAACTGTATTTCTTTTTATCTCGGAATTGGGTTCTTCGCACTTGCTATCTTGATATTTGCTACCCTAACTGTAATAGAAGTAAGAAGAACCTCTAAGCCTTCGCAATCGTCAGGCGGCAACAGAATTACTCGTGTCTTCCAAAATATCTTCGCTGGCATTGGTGCGTTCTCAGCGAGTCATGCCGTTCTCGTACTTATGCTTACTTCATGGGTTGGATTCGGAATGATCTTCGGAGTGTTCAACCTCAGACTTACATCGAACCCTATCGAACTTTGGTCAGCACCTGAATCTCGCAGTCGACAGGAGTTGGAATATTTTAATTCAAGATTCGGACCTTTTTACCGGACTTCGCAAGTGTTCTTGACAGTGAAGTTGGATCCTTTCACAATTTTCAATAATGCAACAAACTCGAGTATTACATATGGCCCAGCGTTTAGATTTGAAGCTGTGCAGGAGTTGTTAAAACTAGAGTCTGATATAAAGGCCTTGACCGCCGGCAGCGTCTCCTTAGATCAAGTGTGCTACGCTCCTCTTCGTATGCCAGGCGACAAGTCGGATATTGATCTGTGCGTTACTATGTCAGTTGCTACTTATTTCGGTGAAAATGCCGGTAACATCAATAACGTAACGTATCTTGATACGATGATGGGTTGTATAAACAACCATTTTGCTCTGAACTGTATGGCACCTTGGGGAGGAGGCTCAGAACCGGAGCTCTCCTTAGGAGGGTTTGAAGACAACAATGTGCTCAGTGCAACTACTTTGATTATCAATTTGCCTTTGAGCAATTTTCTTTTAGAAGACGATCTCGTACCTGTGTTAGCGTGGGAGCAAAGGTTTTTAGACTTTATGCATGAATATGAGGCGAACTCGAAGCCAGACTTTATTGAACTGGCTTTTGCTGCGGAACGATCAATAGAAGATGAGATAATACGCGTTTCGGTGGCCGAGGCTGTGCCAATTGCAATCAGTTACATAATAATGTTTGTCTATGTCATATTTGCATTAGGACACAAAAGGTCTTTTAGGACGTGGCTAGTCGACAGCAAAGTTTTAGTAGCAATTGGTAGTATTTTAGTTGTAGTCACGTCGATTTTCTGTGCGATGGGAATGATGGGTTATCTTCAAATCACTGCTACTTTATTAGCAATCAACGTGATACCATTTTTCATACTTTCAATTGGTATCGATAACGTTTTCCTTATGATAAATACTTTGCACGAAATAGAAAGTAATTTAAAGAGCTATGACGATTACAATGAAAATTTCGATTTCGAAATGAAAAGAAAATTCGTGTTTTCGAAAATGATGGGCACAGTTGGGCCCTCAATTTTCGTGTCTTCGGTGACACAAATTACTTGTTTCGCAATTGGTTCTCTCGCTAATTTCCCTGCTGTTGTAACGTTCGCTATTTTCGCTAGTTTTTCTTTAGCTTTCTTGTTCGTTTTTCAAATTACTACTGTCGTAGCTATAGTATCACTTGACTACAAAAGAGTCTCACAAAAACGCTTAGATGTTTTATTCTGCGTTCAAAAGAAGGTTTTGGATGACACTGATCCTCTCCACTCTGAAACACCCCATCAAGGTGTGACCAAGAGGCTGATGGAACCTTATGCCAATATTCTGCTGAAACCGAGCATAAAAATAGTAGTGGTAATATTTTTTGTCGCTCTCACATCAGTAAGCATAATTCTGATCCCCAGTATAGAAATAGGATTGGACCAAGAAATGGCTTTGCCTACTGATTCGTACGTCTATCGTTATTTGCAGGCTGTCGCTGAACTATTGCAATTCGGACCTCCAGTCTATTTCGTCTTGAAAGGTGGACTTAACTTCACCAATGTTGAGCACCAGAATGCAATCTGTGGCGGCCGACTTTGCAACGAGACATCTCTCATAACACAGATCTTTTTAGCTTCTTTACACAGTGATATAACGTACGTTGCGAGAAGTTCAAATTCTTGGATTGACGATTTCATCGATTGGACCGGTTTGCCCGGTGCTTGCTGTAAATACAACACTACGGATGGCAGCTTTTGTAGCAGTATGGACCAATCTGCAGAGTGTCAGTTCTGCGAAATAAGTAGAGACGAATGGGCCGGTGGCTTGCGACCCTCGGCCGAAGCTTTTGAAAAGTACATTCCATTCTTCTTGCGTGACACTCCTAACGAACAGTGTAACAGGGGAGGTTTAGCTAGTTACTTCAGCGCTGTGAACTATCTGCTAGATTCAGAAGGACGAGCGACTGTCCACGATACAAATTTCATGGCATATCATAATGCTTTAGCGTCTTCGCAAGATTACATAACCGCTGTCAAGTACGGCTACGAGATTAGTGCTAATATTTCGACAGGAATCAAAGAGTTGATAGGCGTAGAAGTCGAAGTGTTCCCTTACTCAATCTTTTACGTGTTTTATGAGCAGTATTTGACTATGTGGTGGGATACTTTTGCTTCTATAGGATACTGTTTGATAGGAGCCGTCGTTTTCAATTTGGTGGCATCAGGATTTAACTTCTTGACGACATTTGCTGTGATGTTCACCGCGATCATGGTTGTGATCAACATGATGGGCGTAATGTTCATATGGAACATCCCTCTGAATGCTGTGTCGTGTGTGAACCTCATCGTCTCTATAGGAATTGCTGTAGAGTTCTGTAGTCATATCGCCTATGCCTACTCTACGAGTACTGAACCCTCGGATGAGAGAATCAAAGATGCTTTGAAAAGAGTAGGATCCACGATCATCACTGGAATCACGTTCACCAACATCCCGATCATAGTTTTAGCTTTCTCGTATACGCAAATCATTGAGGTATTCTTCTTCAGAATGTTCTTCAGTGTGGTTATTCTTGGTTTCACGCACGGAATGATATTCTTCCCAGTATTTTTATGCTACTTAAATAACTTGACCTGCCGCCGTTCTTAGTGTTAACTCTACGTGATTTCAGACAGATCTTGAAGGCTATTTATGTTTTATTTGTTAAGAATTCAGTGCTTAAATAAATAGCCAATAATGATATTATACCGTAAACAATAAGAAATACGATTTTAGTCATAAGTTTAACAATATAGGTATTTAAGTATAATAATAGCAATTGCTAATAATAGGATCGAATATATCAATCATAGAAAGGGTCCACTTGTAAATATTAGTAAATAAAAACGATTTCATAACGAATATCTAGTTTATTGTTATTATGTACAATACCCTACTACTAAAATATATGAACAACCAAGTTAATTTATCAACTAAAAATATAATACACGATAAGGAAAGGAAGACATCACTACAAGTAATTTACATTAATTATTTTTATTTACATAAACATTGAGTAACTTTGACTAGAAAAGTGCAGGTAGACTTTAAATAATAATGAAGTCTACTATATAAAAATAAGTCGGGTTTTCCTTCCTGACGCTATAACTCCAGAAAGCACGAACCGATTTCCACGGTTTTGCATTCATTCGTTGGAAAGGTCTCGGGCTCCGTGTTTAAATTCTGGAAAATTTAACAAACGAAATTCCACGCGGGCGAAGCCGCGTACGTAAAGCTAGTTAAGTTAATGAAAAACCTATAAACGATTTGCAATAATTAAACCAGTTACATATACAGATGAAAGTTAAAATGACTAGAAATTAAATACTAAAAACTTTGGCACATTGTCTTTGAAAGTTTATGGAGAGATATTTCGCTATCACATTTTAATGACTAGAAATTATATGAGATAAATGTACTTACTGCGAGTGAATTACGTCTTATTGATAATCATTTAAAATTAATTACTAATGAAGAACTAGCCAGACTCTACCTTACTGTCGCAGATAAAGCTGAAGAATAACTAAGAATTTATATTGCAGGAGATTGTTGCAGTTCTATTATGCCCTAAATTCTTCTTAAAATTTGAACGACCAAGTAAAGTTCCAATTTGAGATTACAAAACATTTTCATTCAAGTATAGATGACCCACGCTGAACTGTCCCGCCAAACTCAATGACAGGGGGGCGCTACCATCGTTCAACTATATGGTTTCCAACATGGCAAAAATCTGAACCAGCGATCCGGTATTGACGGTGGCGCCCCACTGTCAATGTCATCGACAGGACAGTCCAGTATTTTGGAACTATAAGTTTAAATGTTTAGTGTTAGTGAATGATTTTTAGATACAAGCTTTGACCCATTCACAATGATGTTTGACTGTCTGGAAAGTAAAAAAAAGTATTATAAACCTCGCAAAATGTTCAAGAATAAGATCATGTGACTCTACCACAATAATACTCAAGCCTCCAGCACATGGTTCAAGTACGCAATGTAACAAATAGCCAGCCTCAAGATCTCTATCTTGGACAGTTTCTTATCTGGAGGCAGAGTCGGCAACAGTCTCCTAAGAGCTGCAAAAGCTGCATTGAAGGCTTCTACCCTGATCCGTTCTCTGGTGGCGTGGGCGGTGCGGTACTTCAGGGTAGCTCGTCGCCGTCTCCTGCGTTCTTCCCTGGATAGACCGGCACAGGGCGACCCTGGCCCGCTGGAGAGGTACGCTTCTTCTGATAGGGCGCAGGGCTCGAGAGTTCTTTCTCTGTAAAGAAGGAACAGGTTTTATTTGAGATCAAGTAGTCATTGACTTAATACATTTATTGCTAGCAAAGCTATAAATGTTGCAATTGTAGTCTCTATCATGTTAATTGCAATTCATAAACGCAATGGATTCAACACTTGCGTGTCTCTAATACAGCATCGATATCATATAAGTTATGTGAAATAGCAACTTGTAGGTATATGCTACAGTCTGTCGCCTGTATTAATTTTGTTAATTACCTAATTGTAAAAGTATGTGCAAAAAAATAAACTGTAAATTGTTCCTATGTCTAACATAGACTTTTTTGATTCTACTTTGCGCTAGTGTTAACGTACTTTTAAAGTTAGTGTACTAGGTGCCTACCGTTTCCTTGGTGCCAGGTTCTCTCTGCCAGTGATGGGCAGCAATGCTTCTCTGGGTTCCGCCAGCATGCAGGGCAGAGAGTCCTCCATACCAGTCGCTTCTAGCCAGCTCTTCATGGTGAAGCTGCCATAAAAGTACACTTTTAAAATGAAGACACTCTTTTGCTCCCTTATGTAGGATTTACAGATTTGCCGCCCGTAGGATGTTCGATCTTATTTGACTGGCCTGGCGAACATTGATATATTCATATCCTAAATACGTACCTACTTTGTGTATGTAAAAAATAATGAACTAAGTAAATCTGCCGCCCCTTAAAATTTGCCGACCTAGGCTTCAGCCTACTCAGCCTGGTAAATCCGCCACTGTGCGTAATATAAAATAGTCGCTCAAAATTTGACTCTACCACCCAATGCACTACGAGTAGGTATCAATATACCCTTATGACATTTAAGCAGTAGAGATACTACTTTAGTTCCTAGGTAGTTTAAGGTCTGCAATTTTAGTTTTAGACCAGTAACAATTAATAATGTATAGACAGACATAGAGCAATAATATCAAGTAGTCAAGTCGAATGGATTCGATACGGGTTGATCGTGATTCGATTACCCCATCCACTACACAGGGGGCGATATAAAAAGAATAAATACGGATTTATTATCCCCTAAAGGCCCGCTTAGGAGGTGCGAACTTATTATTTATACACCCTTCTTGTGGTTCAATTAGATTTGGGATCAAAACAAACGTGTCAAGGGTTAGGACGTGGTCAGAGCATCCTTGGAGTATTCTTAAGATATTCCTTGAGTGTCCTTTGAAGGGTAGGATCAGATGGATGTAACCTTTATGATTTGCATTCTAATATTCAATTAATGTGAATCTGTTAAATTGTCTTTCTTCTCCTTATCGTTCCTGTGGGCACTTCCATTCCTCTATGAATTCTGATGTTATTTGTCTCTATTATCTTTATACAAATATAATTTTTACTTTTGTGTTGTGTTGCGGTTAGTTCAGAAGAATTAATATTATGCAAACTTTTTTACTCAAATGGTACCTTTAGTGTTTTTCAAGTTGGTGTTTAGTGCATATCTATGCTGTATAGAGAAGCGATAAAAATGAATACATACTTTATGATACTATATTTTAAATCTAAACACCAGTATTTGGTCGAGGTGAGGATATACTCGTAGCTCTACTTTTGTGGGGATTATCACGAGTGGCCTTTATCACCGTGACTAACGGTGATAAAGGCATAAACATACTCGTAGTAAACAATATTACATATTTATTACTTCCCCATAGTCACCTAGATTAATAATAGGTGATTTCGAATGGTTTCTGCTATACACTACTCACAATCTTCAAATCTTATGATTCTACCTGCTTCTATTTAAGATTCAAATACTAGGTACTTAATTAGATGTAGAAAATTTGTTTTGTATCCCCCAAAATGCATAATTACATAACTTTACAGAAAGAGAAGAAAGGGAAAAGATTTAAGATAAAAACAGAAGTAATTTACAAATGCAACCACACCTTTTGAAATCTCTCTTTCAAAAATTCCACAATCCACTATCACCAATGTCCAATGACACTACCGCACCATTTCACACGCTCCGTTCACCACACTGATCATACTGAGAGTGCCCGCAGCATCCCTCCGGTTATATGACGTCAGAGGGCCGGGCCAGCCCTCTAAGAGGGCGGCGCTTGTGCAAATATGATGCGGAGGATACAAGATGAGGTGCAGGATGCAGTGAGGTCGTTTTTTAATAATATGTCCTTCAAAATTGAGTTAGCTTTAGCCCGGAACCCTATAAGGGTTCCGTTTTTTCCTTTTGAGGTACGGAACCCTAAAAAATACAATATTAAAAGAAAAAAAAAGCAAATAGAGGGCGCCACCATCACATACGGGTTTTAGCAAAATTGGCGAAAATGCACAAGTTCACCGCCATCAACAAAGAAGAAGTTGTTTTATTTATGACATTTGCAAGAGGGCGCCACCATCAATTCAAATACTGTTGGACAAAGGCCTCCCCCAAGTTTTCGACAACGAAGTCATTTTTTTTAAAGTATTGTGCTGTAGGTATATTTGAAAATTTTCATAAAAATCCGTTCAGTAGTCGAGCACATTACCTGAAATAAGTATCCCATCTACTCAAATTGCAAGCTTATGAAACCAATCGCTTTGTGGGTAGGACATACTGAAAGATTCTGAAACTTTACTTAGGTTGTAAAAGAAATACAAAGCCAATAAATATTTTTATTTTATTTGTTTAACAATTTGAAACCTTTCAGTAGCTATGTCCGTATCATCGAGTGGTTGGCTGAAAAGAATTGGGAACTTTAACTAGAAATCTGCTGCTGTTTTTCCTGAACACTATAATCCGGGCCTTTTCAAGGCGAGAGTGAATAGGCAGTCACAGGGCAGATATGTACCATCCTAGACTGCATCTTACTTAACACCAGGTACGATTGCGGTTAAATTCCTCGTCCTGCATAAAAAATCTTACTATCATTAAAACTATTGCATGTCGGCTGTTTGGTGTAGTGGTTCGAAACCAACCAAGTAGCGGGTTCGATTCCCGCACAGTATAGACTAAGAGCTAGTGAACGCCAGACCTACGTTATTTTATAAAGGCTGAAAGTTTGCCAGCGCATGCTCCCAACATAGCTAAGAACCATGGCCAAACATGAAGTTTGGGTAATGGTGGCTTTGGCAGACAGACGGTACTAAAGGTGTGTAAAATACCAACTTAATTACGTCAAAGTATAAAGGCTGATTTTTTGATATTTCCTTCAAAATGATATTAGAAATGACGTCATTCATTGACAGACACCTACCATGGTGGAATCCCTTAGCCAGACACCTTAAAGTTCATGAAAATGTAGTCCTACTTACGTCATACTATAAAAGCTGATATTTACATAAAATATTTGAACCATCATTTGATGAAGTTTCCTCATCAGCCAGACACTTCTGATGGTTCCTTCGCCTTGCCAGACAGCTTTTAGGGTGGCTGAAAGTGCGAACACGAGGCACTATAAATATTGTTTTTTGTACTTTTTCTTAAGTTACTCAAGTATTTTGAGTGGTAATGCTAATGTTGCTAAGAACTTTACTCTAGGCAACTTTCAGAGGTAATCACTTCAAAATTAGGGATTGCCTACCTAAGCCTTAAGAAGTTGTACTTGCCTTCCGTCATCAAAAAGCTCATCAACATAGTATGATGATTTACAGACTCAAATACTTGAGTAACTTAAGAAAAAGTACAAAATACAATATTTATTTCGCACTTTCAGCCACCCTAAAAGCTGTCTGGCAAGGCGAAGGAACCATCAGAAGTGTCTGGCTGATGAGGAAACTTCATCAAATGATGGTTCAAATATTTTATGTAAATATCAGCTTTTATAGTATGACGTAAGTAGGACTACATTTTCATGAACTTTAAGGTGTCTGGCTAAGGGATTCCACCATGGTAGGTGACTGTCAATGACTGACGTCATTTCTAATAACATTTTGAAGGAAATATCAAAAAATCAGCCTTTATACTTTGACGTAATTAAGTTGGTATTTTACACACCTTTAGTACCGTCTGTCTGCCAAAGCCACCATTACCCAAACTTCATGTTTGGCCATGGTTCTTAGCTATGTTGGGAGCATGCGCTGACAAACTTTCAGCCTTTATAAAATAACGTAGGTCTGGCGTTCACTAGCTCTTAGTCTAGTACAAACATTTGTGTGCATGAACATATTTGTTTGTATTGGACTGGGTGTTTTCTATGTATAATATGTATGTTTGGGACTAGAAGCGCAGTGTAAATTGTCCAAGGATATTTATATTTATATTTAACTAGCTTTCCGCCCGCGGCTTCGCCCGCGTGGAGTTTTGACTGTCACAGAAAAACAATATCGCGCGCGTATTTGCTCACCGTTTAGACCTACCCTGGACTACGACAAACATTTTAAAACCAAAATCAGCTCAATCGGCCCAGCCGTTCTCGAGTTTTAATCAGACTAACGAACATCAATTCATTTTTATTTATATAGATAGATTAACACCATACCATATTGTTGTTAGGCTGTGCAGGTGTTCAATCTGTAATCCCGTTGTCTGCCTTAACTGCCCGATACGATATCACGGCATTATAGATAGTATTTAAATGCGCGGATTATTCGTCATTTAGAAACTAATACGTTACATTGCAATTTTGTCGTGACTTTCGAATTTTGTTATTAGTATTTATCAGTCAAAGTCCGTTATGTCATGCAATCAGCTTTTGTGTTTCAGTGGCTGGTAAGCTACTTAGTCGCTTTTCAGTTTTACACTTTTCAGAGGTAGCGGGTTTGAATCCTTAATGGATCCAAATATGGATCACATGAAGTGTCAATTACTTGCTCAAATATAATTTAAAAATATTTCCTCAAATAAAACATATAATTGATGGCTGGAAACTTATTATACACACGGAGAATGAATTCAGTATAAATTGAAATTTAAATGATAGGTCCAATACAAAAAGTATTGTTTTCAGCACCAGAATCCGTAAGGATCAGGGTGATTTTTTTTAAATACTGCTTCGAAGCAGCGGTAACTTCCATTTTCTGTCCTATCCCGGTGTATCCCGGTCCTCCCAGCCTCCGACTCCGCCCCGGCCAATCCCGCGTCGCCCCGCCTATCGATCCGGGATCAGGTGCGCCCGCTAATAAGAGTCCCGGGCTGGAACCCGGGATGGGACACCTGAGCCTTGAAGTAGGTACTTGGTTTAATGGGGAGAGAGGATAGATACATGTTTTATTTGGAACCAGTCTTACTGCTAAAAATATAGCATCTGAAATGGCTCCTGTAGACTCTATTAAAGTTTGAAATAAAATTTAAAATTAACACTGGGTTTAACCATAACAAACGTCAAAAGTCTGCCGAAATCCACACAAAAACACCGGTTATAGTTATAGTTATAGTTATAGTTACGGTTAATGTTAATGAGCCTCAGCTGCACAGGGTTAGGAGTTGACAATTTCAAGTCTGAGTTTTTATAGCGTTGTAAATCACAAGGAAGTTTCCCTTGTACTTTCCTTTGTTTGTAGGTGATATGCCACCGGAGAACCCATCAAACCTAGAACCACC